TGCTGAGGCATGCAAGGCAAGCATTCTACCACTGAGCCACCTTCCCAGCCCTAGATAATTTTTTTACAAGAACAGTAAGAACTCTTATGGAGTACAAATGCTGAGACAAAATATTTTTTTCTTAAGCTGGGCCTTGATGGCTCATGCCTGTCATCCTAGCTACTCAGGAGGCTGAGATCTGAGGATATCTGTCAAAGGCAGCCCAGGCAGGAAAGTCTTTGTCTTTGAGACTCTTACCTCCAATTAACCACCAGAAAACCAGAACTGGCACTGTGACTCAAAAAATGCAAGTCTTGAGCAAAAAAATTGCAAGGACAATGCCCAGGCCCTGAGTTCAAGCCCTATGACTGACAAAAAAAAAATTGTTTTTCTTGTTTGCCAGTCCTGGGGTTTGAACTCAGGTCCTTATACTCCTACTTGACTTTTTTTACTCAAGGCTGGTGCTCTACCACTTAAGCCTTAAGGTGTACTTCTGGCTTTTTGGTGGATAATTGAACAAAAGAGTCTCTTGGGGGCTGGAAAGGGGGCTCAGTGGTAGAGCGCTTGCTTTGCATGCTCGAGGCCCTGGGTTCAATTCCTCAGCACCACATAAGCAAAAAGAAAAAAAAAAGCCGGAAGTGGCGCTGTGGCTCAAGTGGTAGAGCGCTAGCCTTGAGCTGAAGAGCTGAGGGACAGTGCCCAGGCCCAGAGTTCAGGCCCCACAACTGGACCCAAAAAAAAAAAAAGAGTCTCTTGGATTTTTTTCTGCCCAGGCTGGCTTTGAACCAGGATGTCAGACTCCCTAGGCTTTTTTTTTTTTCTTGTTAGCTGTGGGCACTGGGCGCTGTCCCTCAGCTCTTCAGCTCAAGGCTAGCATTCTACCATTTGAGCTACAGCACCACTTTGGTTTTCTGGTGGTTTATTGGAGATGAGTCTATGGACTTTCCTACCCGTGCTGGCTTTGAACCACAATTCTCAGACCTCAGTCTCCTGAGTAGCTAGGATTACAGGCGTGAGCCACCAGCACCCAGCTAGCCTCCTTAGGCTTATAGGTGTGAGCCACCAGCATCTGACTTCCTTTGTTTTTTTCTTTTTTGACAGAGTTTCACAACTCACTTCACAGCCCAAACTGTTCTCAAACTTTCCATCTTTCTGCCTCCACTTCCCAAATGCTGGGATTACAGGAGTAAAATGCCATGATCTGGCAAGACAGAACTTTGGAGTACAGATACGAATAAACATTAAATGTATCTTGGATCCTTATTTCCTTGCTGGGGAAAAAATGAATTTTTTTTTGCTTTCAGTGACATTTACAAATAGCATGACATTTATTGGTGAAATCTGTTGGTTCATCAGCTTGAATAAAGAACTACTTGTTTTTGTTTTTTGTTTGTTTTTTTAGCTTATTATCAGACGATAAAATGAAGACCTCTTTAGCATCACATAACCTGTCATCAATATGTCAAGCTATTGTTCTTCATGACAATAGAAACTTCACTCTTTTGTACTGTGTCTGGCACTGGAATGTCACTTGTTCTAATTTTATATGCTTGCTAATTATTCAGTTCTCACCAACTGCTGTAATTTGGGTTTTGAATGTTCCCCTAAAGGCTCATGAGTTAAAGGCTTGGTGCTTTAGCACAATTTGAAGGTGCTCTTAGGGGCTGGAATCTTATAGGAAGTCCTTAGGCCACTAGAGATGTGCCCTCAACAGGGACTGGACAAGGTCCAAGGCTCAAAGCCTGTAATTCCTGCTACTCAGCAAGGTTGAGATTTGAGGATCAGAGTTTGAAGCCAGCCCAGACAGCATAGTCCAGGAGACTCTTATCTCCAATTCACCAAGAAAAAGCCAGAAGCAGAGCTATGGCTCACATGGTAGAACACTAGCTATGAGGAAATTGGTAAGTGAAAATTCTAGGCCCTGAGTTCATGCCCCAGGACTGGAACACACACACACACACACACACACACACACACACACACAAATCTCCATATTGGAATGTTAGACCTTTTTTATAAAGCATAAATGTTATTAAGATGTAAAAAATCATGGAAGATGACTAAATCAACTGCAGGTATTATGAAATCTTTACAATAAAATTAACTCAATCTGCATAACGCCCATTTTATGGTGTTGATACCAAGAGTAGGGGAGGCAACTGAGTCACAGCATGAAAATATTATTTTGTTTTGTTTGTTTTTTGTCAGTCGTGGGGCTTGAACTCTGGGCCTGGGCGCTGTCTCTCAGCTCTTCAGCTCAAGGCTAGTGCTCTACCACTTGAGCCACAGCACTACTTCCGGTTTTTTCTGCTTATGTGGTACTTAGGAATAGAACCCAGGGCCTCATGCATGTAAGGCAAGCACTCTACCACTGAGCCACTTTCCCAGCCCCCAAAATACTATTTGTTTTTAAAACAAGGTCTCACTATGTAATCCAGGCTGGCCTTGATTTGTAAGTCTTCCTCCTGTCTCTGTCTCCTGAGGCCTGGGATTGCTGTGAACTACTACCCAGATTTTTTTCTTTCTTTTTTTTTTTTTTGGGGTCCGGTTGTGGGGCTTGAACTCTGGGCCTGGGCGCTGTCCCTCAGCTCTTCAGCTCAAGGCTAGCCATCTACCACTTGAGCCACAGCACCACTTCCGGCTTTTTTCTTTTTGCTTATGTGGTGCTGAGGAATTGAACCCAGGGCCTCAGGCAGGCAAGGCAAGTGCTCTACCACTGAGCTACTTCCTAGCCCCCAGATTTTTTTCTTAAGAGACAAAATTTTGCTATGTAGTCATTTGTACTCAAGCTCACCATCCTCAGCCTCCTGAATACTGAGATTACCAATGTGTGCCACAATGTCTAGTTTAACTCTTGCTTGCTTGCTTTCTTTGTTCTTTCTCTTTCCTCCTCCTCCTCTCTCTCTCTCTCTTTTGCTTGTTCAAACGCCAGAATTTGGCAGGGGAAACTTGGTTGGTCTCCTTGCTCATAGCAAATGCTGGTGTTCCACCAATTGAGCCATGCCTCCAGCCCTTAACTATTTCTTTTCTTTTCATTTTTAGGTCTGGGACTTGAACTCAGTACCTGCACTTCTGCTCATTCGCTGGTGCTCTATCCACTGAGCCACATCTCCAACCCCCTTAACTATTTCTTTAGAAGGGAAATTTCCTGATTTTCCATTCCCATAGAGCTTGTTTGTTCCACAAGTCAGTGGCCAGCACACAGGGGAGGTCAGGGAGTAGGAGAGGAGGGTGCTTATTTCCCAGCATGCCATGCATGTATACAACTTACTAACAGATGTCCTGATCCCACATGAAAAATTTAAAAAGGACTTGACTGAATGAGCAGTCCTGCCTCATTCACTACCGAATGGGCTGAACCATCTCTTGTAAGTGGTTCTGAGGTTCCCATCTCTGAAAGCTTCCGTTATTGCATCCATGTGCCAACCCACAAGGACTAAAGACCCAAGGGCACCTGCCCAGTGCTCAAAACCCAAGCCCCACATTGCTGGTAGCTCACGCCTATAATCCTAGTTACTCAGGAGGCTAAGACCTGAGGATCATGATTTGAAGTCAGCCTAGGCAGTCAAATCCCAGAAACTCATGTCCTATTAACCAGCCAAAAGAGAAGGAAAGCTGTAGCTCAGGGATAGTGTACCAATATTGAGTGAAAAAGCCATGGGGGTGCTGGGAAGGTGGCTCAGTGGTAGAGCGCTTGCCTTGCATGAATGAGACCCTGGGTTCAGTTCCTGAGCACCACATAAGCAGAAAAAGCCAGAAGTGGCACTATGGCTCAAGTTGTAGAGTGCTAGCCTTGAGCTGAAGAGCTGAGGGACAGCGCCCAGGCCCAGAGTTCAGGCCCACGACTGACACCCCCCCACAAAAAAAAAAAAGCCATGGTGGGGGGGGAGAAAAGCCTTGAGTTCAAGCCCCAGCACTGTCAAGTGTGCGCATGCACACACACACACACACACACACACACGACCCAGAAGTTGCTTGTGTTTCTTTTGGCCATAATTCTATTCAACAGATGCTCTAGGGCTGGGGGCGTAGTTCACTGGTAGTGTGCTTGCCTAGCAAGTGGGAAGAAAAGAAAAGGAGAGAGCAGAGAGGGAGGGTTGTATAGGGGTGGGGGAGGGGTGTGTGTGCCTGTGCCCAGGGAGAAGAAGAGAAAGCACTGAGGGATGAGAAGTCCTGCCACAAACTGCTCTCTGCCTGCCCGCTGCTGGCACTGACAGGGCTCTGGAAGGAAATGAGCGGTATCTCCTCCATCCCTCTGCCTGTCCACTGCCTGTGTCCAGGATGGCTGTGGCCAAGCACTCAGGAAGCAGCTACAAAGGAATGACCTAGAACCTTCCAGAAGACCTTTGCAGTGTGAGAATAAATTCCAAGGGTAGGACAAGTTCTGTCTGGATTTCAGGAGGAAGACAGGACAGCAGGATCGTTGTGAATTAGACATATGAAGGACCCTAACACCTATCCCAGGCCTTTTGCTTTCTCATATAGACATAGCGGTCTCTCACTGGGGGTGAACCTGAGATTTGTTTTGTCGTGGGGCTTGAACTCAGGGCCTGAGCGCTGAGCTCTTTCACACAAGGTGCGCACTCTACCACTTGAGCCACAGCGCCACTTCCGGTTTTCTGGTGGTTTATTGGAGATGAGTGTCCTGGACTTTCCTGCCCAGGCTGGCTTTGAACTGCGATCCTCAGATCTCAGCCTCTTGAGTAGCTAGTTTTACAGGTGTGAGCTAGCTTCAGACTCGGAGCCTTCCATCTCAGCCTCCAGCCCCCCGACCCCAGGTAGCTAAGGTCATAGGTGTGATTCCCTCCTCCCCCCACCCCAGCGCCTGGCTGGCAACAATCGATCTCCAATCGATTACAAACAACGTCCAAGCGAGCAGGTGACATCACAGGGCGGAGTTCCAAGAACTCCGAGTGCGGCCGCGGCCATCCAGCCCGGCTTCGAAGAGAAGAGAAACCCGAGAGAGGACCTCTCGACGCCCCGCTCCGGAGCTCTCGGGCTCCGGAGTCCCCCACGTCGCCATGGACCAGTCCCCCAAGGCTGCGGATGCCTCGGCTCGGCCTCAGCGCCCGTCCGTGCATACCGGCAGCTTCCTCGGGGTGCAGGACCCCGCCGTCAGGGCCCACCCTGGGGGCGGCCTGAGCCCCAGCTCCGGCCTCGACCTTCACCGCCCGAGCAGGGTGTCCCCCACAGGGTTCTTGGGAGGGCCCCACGCGGGGCCTCCCGTAGGGATCCTCCACCACACCCAGCACCCCGAGACCTCGCCAGACACGGGGCCCCAGCCCCACGGCAGAGCGCCCCACCACGCGCACGGCGCGCCCCACCACCTGGGCGAGCCCGGCGCCCCGAGCGCGCACCACCACGCGCACGGCGCGCCCCACCACCCGGGCGAGCCCGGCGCCCCGAGCGCGCACCACCACGCGCACGGCGCGCCCCACCACCCGGGCGAGCCAGGCGGCCCGAGCGCGCACCACCACGCGCACGGCGCGCCCCACCACCCGGGCGAGCCAGGCGGCCCGAGCGCGCACCACCACGCGCACGGCACGCCCCACCACCCGGGCGAGCCAGGCGGCCCGAGCGCGCCCCACCACGCGCACGGCGCGCCCCACCACCTGGGCGAGCCAGGCGCTCCGAGCGCGCCCCACCACGCGCACGGCGCGCCCCACCACCCGGGCGAGCCAGGCGCTCCGAGCGCGCCCCACCACGCGCACGGCGCGCCCCACCACGAGCCCGGCGCCCCGAGTGCCCCGCCCCACCACGGCCGGCCGCACCCCCAAGGCGCGCCCCGCCACCGCGGGACACCCCACCATCGCGCCGAGGAGCACCCCCCAGGCGGGGAACCCCAAGCCAAGGAGGAGGCCGGCCACGAAGGGCTCCACGCCAAGCTGCCATCCAGAGAACGGCACGCCATCAGCCAGGCCACCCTCAGCCAGGCCTTCCTGCCGAAGGCCCGCCCCAGCATCACGCCCTCGGCCATGCGCTTCAGAGATTCCCTCCACAGCGGCGGCCCGTCCCGCGTGACCATCCTGTCCCGCTCCTCCCGGAGCTCCGCCAAAGTCCACCCCCAGTTCACCACCAAGGAATCAGAAACCTGGCAGGACGAGGAGAAGGTTCACAAGCGCAAATGTGAGGGTTTGCCGGCCCCTCCCTCCCCATCCAACCCCACTTCTTAGTGTCTAGCCCAGATTCGTCCAGACTTAATCCAGGCCCAGACTTCAGTCAGCCCCAGCTGCCTTCAAACCAGGATCCTCAGATATCAGCTTCCTGAGTAGCTAGGATTATACACATTGAGCCACTGTCTTGTGGTAATTCCTTCCTTCCTTCCTTCCTTCCTTCCTTCCTTCCTTCCCCCCTCCCTCTTTCTTTCTTTCGTTCTTTCTTTGTTCTTTCATTCTTTCTTTTTCTTTCTCTCTTTCCTTTTTCATGGCTTGAATTTAAACTCATGGCCTTACACTTGTTAGGCATGTGCTTTACCACTCTTTTTGATTTTTAGTTACTTTCAGAGGCCCAGAACTGGCCTCAGATCATAATCATCCTACCTACAGACTCACAGGTAGCTGGAATAATAGGCATGATCCACCATGACCAGCTTATTGATTAACATGGAGATTATACTTTCTGTCCAAGCTGGCTTTGAGCAGAGATCTTCATGATCTCTACCTCCTGAGCAGCTGGAACTAAAGGCACATGTACTCTCCCTCTATTCCTCCCTTCTTCCTTCCTTGCTTTTTTCCCCTTCTTTCCGTTTTTTCAGAGGAGCCAGCACTCAGGTCCCTTCACTTTTCCCCTCAAGGCACAGGTCCACTTCAAACTTCTTGGTGGTTAATTAGAGATAAGAGTTTCATAGATGCAGGGCACTGGTGGCTCGTGCCTGTAATCCTAGTTACTCAGGAGGCTGAGATCTGAGGATCACAGTTCAAAGCCAACCCAGGCAGGAAAGTCTGTGAGACTCTTATCTCCAATTAACCACTACAAAAAAGAAACAGGAAAAAAAAAGTAGCTCAGGGACAGCGCTCAGGTACTGAGTTCAAACCCCATGAGAGTCTCCATAGACTTTCCTGCCCAGGCTGGCTTCAAATTGTACACCTCAGATCTCAGCCTCTTGGTAGCCAAGATTACAGGTGCGAACCACTGATCCCTGACCCATCCTTTACCTTTTTTTTTTTTTCTTTTTTTGCTTATGTGGTACTGAGGAATCGAACCCAGGGCCTCATGCATGCAAGGCAAGCACTCTACCACTGAGCCACCTTCCCAGCCCCCATCCTTTACTTTTTGAATCTTGCCCCTCTGCAAGCCATGATTTACATGTTTGGTCACTGCTTTATTCATTCACACATTCACTTCTGAAATACCAAGATTTGTCTCGTGTGAGTGCTTGGCCTATGCAGGCCCTGGGATCACAAGGAGGAACTGGCACAGTCCCTGCCTGCAGGGGTTCTAGGCTGCATGAGGTCCATCAATCACAGACAATCCTGTGCTAGGGGTTTGACATCCTCCACATCAAAACATTATTTCTGGGGACTCTGTATCCACATGTCCTCCACTAAATGGCGGGCTGCTGAGGACAGAGCCGGGAGTCAGTACCTTAATGGCTGTTACACAGTCCTCCAGTTCCTCGTAGTCCAACAAATATGGCAACAGTCCCATGAACAAGCAGAGACAGGCAAGTGATGGGCATGAGAAAAGAAGCCAGGAAGAACAAAGAAAGAGGAAAGGGAAAGCTCACCAGGAGGCTGGGGGTGGTCAGGAGAGGCTGGCTGGCCTTGTGTCGCTTAACATGAGCACAACACAGAGAGATCCAGGACCAGGCATTTCAGAATCCACTCAATCCCAAACAAGCCAGCCACCGGTGGCCCACACCTGTCATCCTAGCTACTCAGGAGGCTGAGATCTGAGGATCATGGTTCAAAGCCAGCCTAGACAGCAAAGTCCTATAGATTCTTAAATTCAATGAACCACCAAAGGATATCTGTGGCTCAAGAGGTAGAATGCCAGGCTTGAGAAAAAAAGCTAAGGGACAATGCCCAGACCCTGAGTTCAAGCCCCATTACCAGCACACACACACACACACACACACACACACACACACACACACACACACGCACACGTGCTCACTCTCTCTCACACACACACAAGCATGCACACATGCGCGCGCACACACAATCCCAAGCAAGTTGGCCCCCAAACCAGAACAGGACTAGCACAGGGTGATACTAATGTGAGACCAGCAGGTCAGTAGGCAAGATGTTGATGAGCCCCACATCTAGTCTGAGAAGGTGCCTTCAGTTCCTAAACCCCTTCCCCCATACCTGCACAAACTTGACTTTTTGTCCCCTGTTACAGTGGGCAGGATCCCACGGATCCACAAGAAGATTCACGCTGGGAGTCTCGTCCAACAGATATTGGATAAAATATGCGCTATTCTGGGGACCCTGCGGATTATGACGCGGTCATTGACCTACTCCCTAGGCTTTGAAACAATCATCTTCCTTTTTGTCTGCCTTAACACCATCATGCTGGTAGCTCAGACCTTTGCTGAACTTGAGATCCGGGGTGGTAAGAGTCAGGGGCCCCTGTTCCTATGGAAAAGCCATTGATGTGGTCCCCGAGCCTGAGCTAATGATGGTCAATTTTCATAGCCTGATCCTCACCCCTGGGACATCAGTAACTCCCACTGTTAGCAGAGATGAGGCTCAGGAGGTTATTGCTGAGGTCAGCCAGATGGGCACTGGAAGTTTGTGGTTCATGGATGCAGCCACCAGGTGGTGCACCTGCTCTAAATATGTTCTGGGTGGGAAAGGTTCTGGGACCTTTGCCTGCCTTAGGGGCCAAAAGACCCCTAGGAAACCCTGAAGTAATCAAAGTAAAATTCTTTGGGGCCAAGTGTGGTGGTTAATGCCTGTAGCCTCAGTGACTCATATGGCAGAAATAAGTAGGAGACACTATCTGAAAAACAAAAAATAGGTCTAAAGTTTCAGCTCAAGTGGTAGAGTATTTGCCTGCCAAGTTCAAGGCTCTGAGTTCAAATCCCACCAAAAAAAAAAAAAAAAAGCCAAATGTTAGTGGCTCATGCCTGTCTTCCTAACTGTACAAGAGGCTGAGATCTGAGGATCACAGCTAACAGCCAGCCTCAATGGTAAAGTCCATGAGACACTTATCTTCAAATTAACTACCAAAAAGCTGGTAAGTGGAGCTGTGGCTCAAATGGTAGAGCTCTAGCCTTGAGCAAAATAAGTGCAGAGACAGAGTCCAGGCCCTGAGTTCAAGCCCTAGGATCAGACACATACACTTACACATGTGTGTGCACGCATATAGAGTCTAGGGAGCAGAACCTACCATGTGCAGACAACAAAACTAAGGTAGAGAGTGGTTAAGTCACAGCCATTTACCAGAGAGTCTCTGTATTTGGATCTTTGGGGGATCCCCGTGGAAAGGGGAAGTGGGGGGGGGCATGGGATGCTGCAGCAGCTCTAAGCAAGTCCCTGGTGTCTCCACAGAGTGGTACTTTTTGGTCTTCGACAGTATTTTCCTCTGCATCTACGTCTTAGAAGCCCTGCTCAAGATCATTGCCCTGGGCCTGGAGTATTTCATTGATCCCTGGAACAATCTGGGTGGGTGGGGCTGAGAATGTAAAGGGGGGGCTGAACTATGTGAGGTCTCCCTTCAGTGTGGGTTAGGGGTTCAATAGATCCCTCCCCACTCAGGTACCCTCTTTACCCCCAGACTTCTTCATCATGATCATGGCAGTGCTGGAATTCGTGTTTATACAGATCAATTCCCTCACCTACTCCTTCTACAACCACAGCATCTTCCGGATCCTCAAGGTCTTCAAGAGCCTGCGGGCTCTGCGGGCCCTCCGGGTCTTAAGGAGACTCAGGTTTGCACAGCCAAGGCTGTTCTCCCCGATTGAGGAAAGGGGGACAAAAAGCCCAAGCACCAGGAGCTCAAGCCTGTAATCCTAGCTATGCAGGGGAGTGAGATCTGAAGATCACAGTTTGAAGTCAGCAGGGTGGAAGGAAAGTCCATAAGACTCTTATTAGGAAAACACAGGAGAAAGGAAAAGAAAAAACACAGACTCGGGCCCCAACAGGCTAGGACTGTTTATTGAGGCACAGCAAGGGGGGACAATGAACTTTCCCATAGGTATGGAGGTTGTGTAAGGAGGTGGGGTTGGAATTGGGCTTTTATGGGGTCTGAGAAAGGAGACAGAGGTTATTGAAAAGGCTATTAGGGCTGGAAGATTGGGGGGGGGGGGAGGCATTCAGTTAGGCCCACCATGCAATGTTGACAGCCAGGCTTAAGTTAGATTGCCCTGCCCACACCTCAAGACATCAGGGGGGTCTTACCTGACCTCCATATGCACCTGGGATAATAGGGTGGGAGTCAGTCCTTCAACTCTAATCTCCAATTAACCACCAAAAAGTTGGACGTGGAGCTGTGGCTCAAGTGGTACAGTGCCAGCCTTGAGTGAGAAGAGACAGTCCACAGGCCTTGAGTTCAAATCCCAAGTACCAGCACCAAAAAAATAGGGAGGGAGGGACCAAGGGATGGATGGATACAGCCCTGTTTCCAAGGAATCCAGTGATGAGGGTGAGGAGTTCCAGCCTTCACCTGGCTTTTAATAAACCTAATCTGGGATCCATGGCTGGGATTAATGTCTTCGTTTTCCAGGGAAGGGCTAGGACTTGCTAAATTACCAGCAAATCATGAGTCCCCAGCCTTCCCCCCCACCCTCACTGTTTCAGCCTCTTTTTTACCTCTGCCCACAGCATCCTGACCAGTCTCCACGAAGTGACAGGGACCCTGGCCCGAACCTTGCCATCGATCACCGCCATCCTAATCCTCATGTTTACCTGCCTCTGTATCCCCAGCAGGGGAGGCAGAGGGCGGAGCGGGTCCAGGAGGGTCTGGGGCAGCGGGCGGAGCTTGGGTGGGGCGGGGCCACGAGGGGCTGAGACAGAGGGCGGAGCCTGGGGCGGGGCGGGGCCACGAGGGGCTGAGACAGCGGGCGGAGCGTGGGTGGGGCGGGGCCACGAGGGGCTGAGACAGAGGGCGGAGCCTGGGGTGGGGCGGGGCCACGAGGGGCTGAGACAGAGGGCGGAGCCTGGGGCGGGGCGGGGCCACGAGGGGCTGAGACAGTGGGCGGAGCGTGGGTGGGGCGGGACCACGAGGGGCTGAGACAGCGGGCGGAGCGTGGGTGGGGCGGGGCCACGAGGGGCTGAGACAGCGGGCGGAGCCTGGGGCGGGGCGGGGCCACGAGGGGCTGAGACAGAGGGCGGAGCGTGGGCGGGGCGGGGCCACGAGGGGCTGAGACAGAGGGCGGAGCCTGGGGCGGGGCCACGAGGGGCTGAGACAGAGGGCGGAGCCTGGGGCGGGGCCACGAGGGGCTGAGACAGAGGGCGGAGCCTGGGGCGGGGCCGGGGCAGGAGGCGGGGCGGGAGGCCAAGGTGGGATGGGAGCCTGGTTTGGCCCTGAACTGCCTGCCCAGTCCTCTTCTCTGTGGTTCTCCGGGCTCTGTTCCGCCATTCGGACCCCAAGCGTTTCCAGAGCATCTTAACCACTATCTTCACCCTCTTCACCCTGCTCACCCTGGATGACTGGTCCCTCATCTATTTGGACAGTCGGGCCCAGGGTGAGTGGAGGGCAAGAGTCAGGCCGGGTGGGCAGACTCTGAAGGCCTTAGCTACCCATCTTCTGCAATGCGAGGGTTGAGGCCTACTGGAAGGGGTGTGGCAGGCGGAGGAGAGCTGGTGGCTTCACCTTTGTCTCCTTTTCCCTCAGGTGCCTGGTACATCATCCCCATTCTCATGATCTACATCATCATCCAGTACTTCATCTTCCTCAAGTGAGAACCCACTTTGCTGCCCAGCCTTTCCCCCCTAATGCGCTCCCCACCCCACCCCCCGCCCCGCTGAACTCAAAGGCAGTTACAGGACCTCTCCTCTGGCATCTCCTTTGAGAGTACCCCACTGTCCCCCCTTCTCCAGCCTGGTGATTGCGGTCCTAGTGGATAACTTCCAGATGGCTCTACTCAGAAACTTAGAGAAAGTGAAGCAGGAGGTACTAGGGAGGGAGGAGAGGTGGCATAAAAAGCTAGTGCTCCAGGACTGGAAGCAAAGAGTTCCAGCAGGACTAGAGCCTTTCCCTCCTTGTCCCAGAAAGCTGCCCAGATCCATGAGAAGCTGCTGGACGACTCCCTGACAGAGCTTAAACAAGCAGGTACCTGCCCTGCCCCCCTCCTCCTCTCAGCCTCCCTCCACAGCCTGGCACCAAATCACAGGTTCAGCTATAGAGCATTGGGATCTGAAATTCAAGAAGACACTCTAAGTTTGGAACCTTGGTGCAGAGGATTTCAGGACAATCCTGCAAGAGCCAATTCATCATCAATTTTTTTTTTGGGGGGTCAGTAGTAGGGCTTGAATACTGGGGGCCTGGGAGCTGTCCCTCAGCTCTTCAGCTCAAGGCTAGTGCTCTACTACTTGAACCACAGCACCACTTCCGGTTTTCTGAGTGGTTTATTAGAGATAAGAGTGTCACCAACTTTTCCTGCCCAGGCTGGCTTTGAACCGGGATCCTCAGATCTCAGTCTCCTGAGTAGCTAGGATTACAGGCATGAGCCACTGGCACCCGGCTCATCAGTTTTTTTTAAATGGTTTTATTGTTGTTGTTAAGGTGTTGTTCAGAGGGGTTACCATTGCATAAGTCAGGTAATGAGTACATTTCTTTTTGGATAATGTCATCCCTTCCTTTCCTCCATTTCCCCCCTAATCATTCATTCTTTTCTTTTTTTTTTTATTGTGAAAATACTGTACAGAAGGGTTACAATTACATGGGCAAGATAATGAGTACATTTCTTTTTTTTGCGGGGGGAGGGGGATCTGGTTGTGGGGCCTGAACTCTGGGCCTGGGCATTGTCTCTTAGCTCTTCAGCTCAAGGCTAGCACTCTACCACTTAAGCCAGAATGCCACTTCTGGCTTTTTTCTTTTTGCTTATGTGGTGCTGAGGAATGGAACCCAGGGCCTCATGCATGCAAGGCAAGTGCTCTACCACTGAGCCACCTTCCCAGCCCCAATGAGTACATTTCTTATCAAGCATTGTAGCCTCCTCCTTTGTATCCCCTTCCCATCCCTTCCCATCCTCCCCCCACCCCCAACCCAATCCTCCCCCCCCCCACCTAATCATCAATTCTTGAAAGACACATTTAGAAAATAACTATCTTGTACAATTATGATTCACCAAATCTCCATTTCTGGTAATAACAGAAAGTTCATAGCAGCTGGGCTTCAGCAGATCCAGTAAAATCCCAGAAATGAACCTCCTCTGTTCTGATTGGATCATGAACCTAATTTTGAACTAATCACTGCAGGCTGTGATTGGCCAGTCTGTAGTCAGTCATGTGATCTCAGAACTGAGGGTGGAACATGGCCCCAATTAGACATCATGCACTGAACCTGGGAGGTGGTGGTTCCTCTGGAAAACTAGAACAATAGCTAGGGAGTAGAACAGTAGAACATTTGCCTAACATGCAGGAGGTCCTAGATTCTATCCTCAGCTCCACAAAAATTATATGGCTAGTGCCAGTGACATGCACTTGTCATCTCAGTTATTGGGGGGGTGGGGACTGAGATCAGAGGACCATGATTCTAGGCCAGCCTGAGCAGAAAAGTCTTCAAGACTCCATTTCAACAGAAAAAGCTGAGTGTGGTGATATGTATCTATCATCCCTGCTACAGCAGAAGTAAGCAATACACAGACAGAGCTGGGCACTGGTGGCTCATGCCTATAATCTTACCTACTCAGGAGGCTGAGATCTGAGGATAGCAGTTCAAAGCTGGCCCAGGCAGGAAAGTACATGAGACTCTTATTTCCAATTAACCACTGAAAAGCCAGAAGTGGAGCTGTGGCTCAAGTGGTAGAGCAATGCTAGCCTTGAGCAAAATAAGCTCAGGAACAACTCCCAAGCCCTGACTTCAAGCCCCAGGACTGACACACACAGAAAAAGGCAGATTGAAGCCCAGACATATGCACAAAGCAAAACCTTATCTTAAAAATATATGAGGGGAGGGGGGCTGGGAAGGTGGCTCAGTGGTAGAGCACTTGCCTTGCATGCATGAGGCCTTGGGTTCGATTCCTTAGCACCACATAAGCAAAAAAGAAAAAAAAAAAGCCAGAAGTGGCGCTGTGGCTCAAGTGGTAGAATGCTAGCCTTGAGCTGAAGAGCTGAGGGACAGCACCCAGGCCCAGAGTTCAGGCCCCATGACTGGACCCAAAAGCAACAACAACAATAACAACAAAAAACAACAAACAAAGAGCTTAAGGCCCAGAGTTCTAGGCCCCAGTACCAGCACCATAAAAAAAAAGAGGGGGGGCTGGGAAGGTGGCTCAGTGATAGAGTGCTTGCCTTGCATGTATGAGGCCCTGGGTTCGATTCCTCAGCACCACATAAGCAGAAAAAAAAGCTGGAAGTGGTGCTGTGGCTCAAGTGGTAGAGTGCTAGCCTTGAGCTGAAGAGCTGAGGGACAGCGCCAGGCCCAGAGTTCAGGCTCCATGACTGGACCCCCCCCCCCAAAAAAAAAAAAAAAGAGGGCAAGATGCATGACTCAGAGCTGGGCCCCAGAAGCTCATGCCTGTAATCCTTACTACTCAGGAGGCTGAGATCTGAGGATTGTGGTTCAAAGCCAGCCTGGGCAGGAAAGGATATGAAACTCTTATTTCCAATAAACCACCAGAAAACTGGAAGTTGTGCCATAGCTCAAGTGGTAGAGCACTAGCCTTGAGCTGAAGAGCTGAGGGACAGCACTCAGGCCGAGTTCAAGCCCGATGATGGACAAAAAAACGATTCATGACTCAGAGGTAGAGCACATGCTTAGCAAGTGTAAGGCACTGAGTACTACCAAAAATAATAATATTAACTTATCAAACTAAAGGAATAGATAAATGAAAGAACAAAGTCACTACCCATTCCATTGAAGATACGGCCTGTTTGGCATATGTTTGATGCAAAATTCCTTAAGGCAGCCTTATACCTGACATATGGGGTTCTTGTTCCCCCTCAAAACCTGACATACCTCCCTCTCTCTCTTTCTCTATGCAGAAAATGAAGAAATCAAGAATTCAATTGCCTTGGGAAAGGAGTTCATTGAGAGAAAGTTCGGGACCATGACAGAGAAGTGAGGAGTCCAAAGGGAGAGGGGAGGCCTAAGGCTGGAGGTCTGGGGGTTCTCACAGGACAGTGGCTGAGCTGGGAGGGAAAGGGATGTTGTTTAACTCTCTGGAAACAGAGTGGAGCATTGAGGCCTTTGCCCATGCCAACAAGTGGGGCATGAGACCATGGGTGGCCCATGGACAGGGCAGGGCAGGGCAGGGCAGGGCCCAACTTTAAGAAAACAGGACCCCAAGTAGCCCTCCCTGATGGACCAGCCCAGAAGACCAAGGGGAATTTTGACTGAAGATGGAAGTTGGAAGTCAGCAGAGGCAGACAAATCTGTGAGATTCTTCAATTAACCACCAAAAAGCCAGAAGTGAGGCTGTGGCTCAAGTGGTAGAGCACCAGCTTTAAGTAAAAAAGTGAAGGGAGGCCCTAGGAGTGTGTGGCTTAGTGGTAGAGTGCTTGCCTAGCATGTATGAAGGTCCTAGGTTTGATTCCTCAGTACCACATACACAGAAAAAGCTGGAAGTGGCACTATGGCTCAAGTAGTAGAGTGCTAACCTTAAGCAAAAGCAGCTCAGGGACAGTGCCCAGACCAGAGAGAGAGAGTGCAGATGGCAGATAACAGCTAGGTGGGTAGACAAGAGTGGGGGATTGTAGCAGAACATTTTGGGCATAAACCTGGCAGCTAGATGATTGACCCCCTTGCTGGTTATTCTAGTGCTCCATCTGTGTGTCTAGGGTCCTTGGCATGGCCTCTGCTTCCTGGCTCTCAACCTCTACTCCTGTGAAGTCTTTCTGGAAACTGGCTGTAAACTGAGCCCTTCTCATCCTGTCCAATCTGGCTTCAGCCTGGCTCCCACAGAGCATGTTGGCAGAGCACTGGCATCCTCTTGGCTCTGCTCACCCTGAGAGTCCAGGATCTGCAGACTGGCCTGCAGGGCCTTCGTGATCAGTCTGTGCTAGCCTCCATTGTGCCACGCTCCTCACAACCCTGTTTTGTTTACATCTCCCAAACACGGCACATGGCTTCCAACCTCCAGGCCTTTGGCCTTCTCTGTGAGGGTTGTCCAGTCTCAGGTGACAGGAGTGAAGAAAGGCCATTCCTGTCCTGGTTTGCTTCGCTTCTTGGGGCCTCCTGTGCTCTATCTCTGTTCTAGCACCTGGGACACCACCCTGCTCTAGCTCTTTTCTCTTTTCTCTGGGTGCATAGTTCCCCACTGCTCAACTTCACTGAGAACAATCTTTTTTTTCTTTTTTCCTGGTCTGAACTCTGGGCCTGGGTGCTGTCCCTCAGTTCTTCAGCTGAAGGTGAGCACTCTACCACTTGAGCCACAGCGCCCACTACTGGTTTTCTGAGTGGCTTATTAGAGATAAGAGTCTCATGGATTTTTCCTGCCTGGGCTGGCTTTGAACCTCGATCCTCAGATCTCAGCCTTCTGAGTAGCTAGAATTACAGACTTGAGCCACCAGCACCTGGTAACATACATTCTCTCTCTCTCTCTGGTGGAAGGCAGACTTGAACTTGGTACCTGACACTTTCACTCATTGGCTAGCGCTCTACTAACTGAGACATGCTTCCAACCCAGGAATATTTTTCTCTTCTGAGTCTAAGCTCCTGGCATAGTTTCTTCTCACTGACACTTCTGAATGTTTCATCCCCTCACTCCCTGAAGCAGGCTTTTCAGAAGCCTGCCCCGGCCCTTCCGTGAGTGACGAGGCGCTGTTGTGCGGAGCACTGAGCCCCACCTGGCAGCCCCTCACACGTGCTCGCGTTAGCTCCATGCTGCTCCTACCAGGAACCCTCCAGGCCCCAGCACTGGGTGTAACGTCCCTCTTGGGAGCCTTGAGCACCCATGTTTATACTATGTATTGTGCATGGGTGGCTGTCTGGATCTGAGGGGTGAGGCATCTTAGTCATCTTTTATGTCCTTGGCATTCCTTGCTCATTGTTTCCATGGTAGTTGGCGGGTAGATTGATAAGATCTAATGGGTTGGTGGATGGGTAGGGTGGTGAGTGAATGAGTGGGGGGGGGTGTTTACGTGGGTGACTGAGTGCCCAGTATGGCAAGGGCCACACCTTGCCCATGGGTGGGTGGCTCTAGAGAAGAGCAAGTGGGTGAGTACAGGTAGGAGCGGTGGTGGGACTGGTGAGTGAATTGATATAGGTAGGCAGACGGTTGAGTGGTCCACGGACAGAGAATGGGGCAGGCAGATGGGTAGAAGGAGGAATGAGTGATTGGAAGGGTAAAGAGTTAAAGGGTAAAGAGTCAGGCACCAGTGGATCATGCCTTTAATCCTAGATACTCAAGAGACTGAGATCTGAGGATCAGATCTGAAGCCAGCCTGGGCAGAAAAGTCTATTGAGACTCTTATCTCTAATTAACCGTCAAAGAGATTAGCACTCCCCTAGTGAGTTAGCACTCTACTACTTTGGTAGAGTGCTATTTGGTAGAGTGCTAGCCTTGAGCACAAAAGTCAAGAAACGAGAGTCGAGGTTTTGAGTTCAAACCCCAGGCAGTACCAACACACACGGGCGCGTGCACGCGCATGCACACACACACACACACACACACACACACACACACCAGTTAATGCCAGAGCCTCCATGGTACAGGCAGACATGGGGACCTTGTCAGGTGTTGGGAAGGAGCCATGTGAGAAATGGAGGTCTAGGGGGATGGAAGTTTTAGGGGCAGACTGGCACAAAGAGCCATGGAAGCTCTGGAGGCCCAGAGGACACCGAGGCAGCCAGCCTAGCCTTTGCGTCTGCCCCATGTAGGCAGCAGGCGCTCCAGTTCCAGTTCCTGCAGCTGGTGGCTGCGGTGGAGCAGCATCAGCAGAAGTTCCGTTCCCAGGCGTCTGTCATAGATGAGATTGTTGACATCGCCTTTGAGGTGCTGCCTGCAGGGCCTGGGAGGGAAGCTGGGGAGAGGGGCTTCTTGGAGGATTCCTGCCCAGAAGTGGCAAGCCACAGGTGGTGTTAAGTGCTGGTACCTATTTACTCCGCCTCCTGTCCAACCTCTCCCACAGGCTGGAGAAGAGGACTTCACTCAGTGACCGTGCAAAGTGCCACCAGATACAGAAAGACAAGCAAGCAAGCTGCCCGTCAGGGTGGAAGGGGACTGCTGGAATGATTGTCTGGGCCCTGTATAGCTGGGGTCTCAACAGAGTTTTTTAAACCCTCAGTGGCTCTGTGTCCTCAGTGGCTGGGCCAAAGCACAATGCAAAGGAATTTGTACCCCTGTACACAAATGATGTCTAAAAGGTTGTTCTTTTGTTTTAGTCAGTCATGGGGCTTGAACTCTGGGCCTGGGCACTGTCCCTCAGCTCTTCAGCTTAAGGTGAGCGCTCTCTACCACTTGAGCCACAGTGCCACTTCAAAGCCTGCCTTGGCTGGCTTTGAACCATGATCCTCAGATCTCAGCCTCCTGAGTAGCTAGGATGACAGGCATGAGCCACCTGTGCCCAGCTTGTTCTTTCTCTCTATTTTTTTGTATCTGTACTGAAACTGGGGCTTGAACTGAGGGCCAGGATGCTTTCCTTTAGCTTTGCCACTCAAGACTAGTGCTTTACACTTGAACTGCAGCTCCACTTCCAGCTTTTTGGTAGTTAACTGGAGAGAAGAGTCTCTCAGACTTTCCTTTCTTTTTTTTCTTTTTTTTTTTTTTGGGTGCAGTCATGGGGCCTGAACTCTGGGCCTGGGCGCTGTCCCTCAGCTCTTCAGCTCAAGGCTAGCGCTCTACCACTTGAGCCACAGCGTCACTTCCGGCTTTTTTTCTTTTTGCTTATGTGGTGCTGAGGAATCGAACCCAGGGCCTCAGGCATGCAAGGCAAGCGCTTTACCACTGAGCCACCTCCCCAGCCCTCAGACTTTCCTTTCTGGGCTGGCTTTGAACAGTAATCCTCAGATCTCAGCCTCCTGAGTAGCTAGGATTACAGGCGTGACTTATGGCACTGGGCCAAAGGGGCTTTTCTTGGCTCTCCTCTGGCCTCACCAGGGCCCAGCATCCTAGCTCCCATCCAGCGATGCATTAGCCACAGTTAGAGAATGATACAGAAATGGGGCTGGGCTCCAGCACTGGCAACACTGCTGGGGGACAGAGCAGGAAATACCCCACTTAGGGGAGGAAGGCTTATTTGGCCCAACAGTCAGGAGAAAAACAGGCTGGATAGCTCCAGATTGTCAGGGCTCGGGGGCTCAGTGATCTCCAGGAATGGGGCTCAGCACTCAGGAACTTGGGCCACCAGCCTGGCTATTCTAGGACTTCTGAGGAGTCCACCATCTATAAGCTGGTATCCTGTCCAGCCAGGTAGCGGCCTGTGTTGGGTCCTGCAGACTTGGTACTGAGTCAAGTTTAAACCCACACTTGGCTGGAGAGATACTTTATCCAGGTATTGGTGGGTGGGGGCAGAGGAAGGGGGGCTTTCACCATCTATAACTATCTCACCCTGAGTGGAGGTCCATCCAAGGTGCAGTGCAGGCTGGAGGGACTCTGGAGTGGAGGCTCTGGAGTTTGACCAGCACCCTCACCCCACCCTGTGGTCTCACCTGTGGACTGTGCCAGAGAGTGAGCAAGCCAAGCTCCAGGGCTTCAGAATAGTGACAGCTACTCTCCTCCTTGGCTTGGCCAGGAATAGATAATACAGGAAATGCCATCTGGAATTTGGCCATCGATTCCAGGGGTGGAGAAGCCACTCGGCAGACATCTCTGGCCCCGTTTGAGCCCTGGCATCACAGTCATTCAACAAGTATTTCCTGCTACCCAAGCCTGCGTCAGCCACATGCCTGAACCTCCTGGCACCTGGGAGCCCTTCCAAGCAGCAGGGTGGGCTACCTGAGCTGCCATAGGCTGGGAAGTTCTAGAAGGGTTGCCGCCTGTGTTTCTGTCAAATACAGCCCCTCAGCTCCTCAGGCTTCCAGGTTGGATTAGATTTTTCTACCTCTCAATTCCCAGCCTAATATGGACTTCCGGGTCAGCAGGAGGACTGGCTATTGCTCATCAGATCACAGTATTGGGTGGAGGCAGGCAGGCGGCACAGTGGGGTATGAGGCCTGCCTTAGAAGAAAGGGACAAGGGGAGGTGCGGCCCAGATCCAGGCAATCTCCTCGTCCTCTGTGGTCAGCCTGGGTCCCAATGGGCAACACCAACTGCTCAAGACACCTGCTTTCTGCATCCTGTCCTAGATGTGGGCGTGGCAGGGGTGGTGTTGGAACAATTCTGAGGTGCCACCCATGATTCTTTGTATGTCTGGGAACTGTGTAGTCTCCCTAGGGTGCACTACTTCTGTGTTTGGCCTGGGCTCCTGCATTGGAGGGACTTGAGGGTGTTTTTCTGGCCATGCTGGTGGTGTCTGGAAGCATCTGCACATTGTGTCTGTGTGTGTTGTACAAGGGATGCTGCATCTGTCTTCTCGAAGGAGTATGAAGTGAAGTCCCTCCCCCTATGGGAACCACCCTTCTTCCTTCCTGTGGCAGCAGATCAGATTTGTGTCCTCTGGGAATGGGTCCAACTCCTTCCAGGGTCAGGCATTTTGGGGGAGGAGTCGTAATGCGTGGCCCACAGTGAGAAGGGCAATGACCCAGCCTTGCCTCCTGACTTCTTGGCCTTATAGGGGCTGTTCATTGCCCTCCTGTCATCACAGGCACAGCAGTCTGTGGGCTCAGAGGTCAGTGCCCCTACCTGCACCCAAACTGCTCCAGGGTGCTGAGAGGAACAGGGCACAGGCTCTCCTTGAGAGCGCTCATGGCATGTGCGCCAGCTAATGTGAGCATGGTCGGTCTCTGGTGCTTTGTCTCCGAGACTATTAGGGGTCTCTGGCTGTGTTGAGGGATGCTGGGGGTTTGTCTCTCTGTGATGTGGAGTGTTGTGGAGGCTCCAGATTTTGGGCACTGATCCCTGTTCCCTCAGTACTGTCTGGGCTGGTACAACAGAAACTGGCATGGGTGCCCTGTTAGTTGGGGTGCTGAGGGCCTCTAGGAGGGGCAGAGTGGTGAGGATGGGGAGAGGTGAAGCAGATAAAAGAAACCAGTGCAAGAAGCAATGCTGATTATTTATTTAGCGACTTGTCCCCAGCCCTAAGGTGCCATGCGTGCTGTGCCACTCCCACCCAGCCCTGCCGCTGCCACTCGGGGGTCTGTTAAATCTGAGCACAGTTTTGCTTTAGAAGCTGAGAAGAGTTCTTCCAGGGAACTTGGAGGATCTCAAATTCACAGCGCAGCTTCTGCAGACAGAGAATGATGGACAAGCAAGGGTGAGCCTGGCTCCTGTCTCCTTCCAGCAGCCAGACCTCAGCCTGCCTTATTGCTCTGGGGCCAGAGATGGGCAGTTGGTGACTTACAAGACTTGAAATCACCAGGCGCTAGTGGCTCATGCCTGTAATCCTAGCTACTCAAGGGAATGATCTGAGAATCGAGGTTCAAAGCCAGCCCAGCAGGAAAGTCCATGTGACTCATCTCTAATGAACACCAAAGACAAAAACTAGAAGTGGAGCTGTGGCTCAAGTGCTCAGGAACAGCACCGAGGCTCTGAGTTCAAGCCACAAACCTGGCACACGCACACACAAAAGACTTGGAATCCAGGGGCTGGGAAGGTGGCTCAGTGGTAGAGCGATTGCCTTGCATGCCTGAGGCCCTGGGTTCGATTCCTCAGCAACATAAGCAAAAAGAAAAAAAAGCTGAAGTGGCGCTGTGGCTCAAGTGGTAGAACGCTAGCCTTGAGCTGAAGAGCTGAGGGACAGCGCCCATGCCCAGAGTTCAGACCCCACAACTGGACCTCCCCCCCCCAAAAAAAAAGACTTAGAATCCAGCCGGGCCTGTGGCTCACACCTGTAATCCTAGCTACTCAGGAGGCTAAGGTCTGAGAATCACCATTCAAAGCCAACCTGGGCAGAAAAGTCTAGGAGACTCCAGTAAACCGCTCAGAAAACCGGAAGTGGAGCTGTGGCTTAAGTGGTAGAGTGCTAGCCTTGAGCTGAAGAGCTAAGGGACAGCGCCCAGGCCGAGTTGAATCCCCTCGACCAAAACAAATAACAAACCTGGATCTAGCCTGGCACTGCTGCTTCATTCCTGTAGTTCTAGCTATTCAGGAGGCTGAGATCTGAGGATAAATCTTGAAGCCAGCCTGGGCAGGAAATTTCCTAAGACTGTCTAACCACCAGAAAGCTGGAAGTAGAGCTGTGGCTCGTGGTAGAACCCTAGCCTTGAGCAAAAAAATTCAGGAACAGTGATCAGGCCCCAAGTTCAAGTCCCAGTAGCAGCACAATCAAATAAACATAAGACATGGAACCTGATGGCCAAAGCTAGATCCTACCTGAACCAGAGCCCCAGCCTCCTCCACCCTGTACCCCACACTGGCCTGAGGCTGAGTCACCCAGAGGCTGGGCAGGCTCAGCCAGGTCTCTGCCTGACCAACTCTACCAGCTCAGGATGGCCGAGTTGTGAGCCTCACGCTCTGCAAGCCAGGGCTGGGGGCAGTGCTGTTACCTCCTGATGCACTCCTGTAGCCAGGGGACAGGTGTTGAGGTCCACGCCACTTGTGTAGACCATGCTCTTCCTGCACTCTGTGCTCTCCATGTCCACCGTCAGGTAGTACTTGATGCCAGTTACTATCTGAGGGCAGGGCCAGGCAGGTCAGGGGTGCTGGCAGCCAAGCCTGGGCAGCTGCCCCGCCCCCCACCTCTTTCCAGGGTCTCCCAATGCCCAGGGTGGGTGTGGGGTCTGTAGGAGAGGCCTGGGCCCAGAAGGAGGCTGAGATCTGCCCCTGGGTAACACCTTCCTGCAGCCCAGGCAGACATAGAGGGCCCCCCTGGTGCCCCTTGGCTTCTCCCTCTGCCCCCATCTCAGGGACCCTCAGGAAAGGAAAGGGGTGCTTGGTGCTCCTTGTGGATTTTGGCATTCATTTGCATTTTCAGGCCTTCTATGGAAGGTGTTGCCCAGGCCGCCCCCTGCCCCGCGGCTCAGCCCGCACCTGTCTCTCAGCCTTGACGATGTTCGTGTCCCGGAAGTAGAGGACGCTATTGCTGTCCATGTTGTAGGTGGCCACGGCCATCTGTGCCAC